TTGAGATAGTCAAGTAATTCAAGTAACTTAAATTTAAAGATGAATTTACAAAATAAATTTTTGCATTACAAAATTAATTATCACAGTCAGGGCTGATTCTAGAGTTTTTGCCACCCTAAACAAACAAAGTTGCTTGTTCCTCATACCTTTAAAAACTGACTCAGAAAAATACATTTATTTATTTTTCATAGAATTATTATTTGTGAAATACTATCCTTGAAAATGTGCTGCCCCAAGCAGATGTTTACTTTGTTGGTGTCTAGAGCCAGTTCTGATCACATTATTATTTTGAAAATTAGAATTAAATTGTAATAAGAAATGTTAATCATATATGAAAATTGAATAACAAAATAAATATAGATATCCCATTGTGTATATTTGCACAAGCATCGTGTGAAATGTTTACAAATATTTTATGTTTTAAACTATATGTTATTAAAAATTTTTAATATATGGAAGTTGAATATAAAAATATTATCATCTGAAGTTATTTTAAGGATTTTTGATGTTTAATTTGTCTACAAAAGTATCGTATTTGTATGAGACAGCTGTAGAAACAAAGTTGAGTGTGTAACTACAGTACAGTATCTAATATTTGAAACTGACATTAAACTTAATGAATGAATTTTGCTTCTTGCAGATAATATTATTTTTATGTGAGTATATACATATTACATATTTATATTAAATTCTTAAGTTTTGATGATGAATTACTTCAGATAATGATTACACAGTCAATATTGTTATTACATCTTCAGCAATAATAAATTATGATTTATGTATGTTATATAATAAAATGTTTTTGATAAATCAATCTTTTACTTTTTCAAATGCTTTCAGTATCCATATTGTAAGTCTGTGTTAAAAATATAGGAATTGGCTTTGCTATTCCTACATGAAATTTTTATTCAGTTATTTATTTATTTCCAAAGTTTAATGACTGCTAAAATTTGATTTACAATTATAATTCTTGTTTTACTGTATNTGTTAAACAATCTGCATGACAGATTGTAAGTATATAACTACTATGGTACACCAAAAACTTGTATTACTATCTTAATTCACTACTGTGATATCGATATGTAACTTTATACTAATAATGTACTACTCCGCCGTCTTTTGTTTACTTACAATATGTTAAGCGGTTTCTTCATCTGCGAAATATATTTTGATAAATAATGTGCATATATCTCTCAGCTATGTATTAAACGGTACTGAGAATGCACCTACAGGGTGTTTAATAAAAGAATTGAATTGAATTGAAGAAAGACCAGAAAGGAAGCCATACAAAAACTGATGGGTGAATCATGGTGGAAAATACACGTAACGAGAAACGTCAGTCTCCATAAACTTTTCGAAACGAAACGAGAACCTGTACAGATGACGAGTGCGCGAAAGATTACAGTAGGACCGAACAACTAGTAATCGAACACACGCTAAAGAATTAAATTCTAAAATAAAACGCGTCATTCTCCATGCAAATATCTTCGTTTACCTCTTGGATTCCAGTTACGTTGAGAAACGTTTCCATTTGCCCCGCGGCCGATAAATCTTCGGAATCTTCTCCTGGAAACGAAAATATTTCCCTAATTACAACGCATTTATATTAATTAAAAAGTGAGCAAAATAAAATATTCTTCATTGACGATAAAAGAATTAACACTCGGGTTACACTTCGAGCCGACTGGGAAATTCTCTGGCTTAGTTCGATCCAAATATATCGGATCTCGCCCCTCACCAGCCGCCTACCCCATTGCACGCTCGGTCAAACCCAATAAAGAGTATGGTAAAAGGGGTTCTTAAAACTTGCAGTATGAAAATGGCTTTATTATACGATTTTTTAAATTAAACTTTTAAAATTAATAAAGACTCGATAAATGAATTGTTTTAGGCGTGTTTCTTGAATTACCGAGTGGGAAAACCGCAATAGCTTCATTATAAAGCCGAAAAACGATTTTACTAAAAGAATAAATCGACCGTTTCGAAATTCCCCGAATATTCATTATTACGTTAACGAAAAAGATTCGAACCCTGGGCCGAAGATCTGACGGCAAAGGGGAGTGACGTATATTCTGTTCCGAAGACTTGAATGAACTTCTCGTGGAGAACCCAAGCCAAGGACACGGGTAAAGAATATTCTTTCAGGTATTCGACAGTTCTGAAATGAAATTATTTTCAGTTTACGAGGAAACGTAATTTCCAAAGAAACAATTTGACACTGACTGTGAGCAAATTTCTTTCATGTCTTCGCCAGTTTTACCCCTGCAAAGAAAGTAATCAGACGACCTTTAAAGGTGATTTTTCTTAGATAAAACAACATTATTTTTATGGAAAAATGTCAAATTTCTTATTTCGTTGGCAAATTACCAAGCGGCATCTTCCAATTGGGAAATCCGAAGAAGTAATCCTTCATCTCTGATTAACTCTCGATACGCGTTGAAAGTTATTACGATTCCTTTCGGCACGGAAAACTGAAAAATTGTTTAGATTTTCGCAAATTACGCCTAACATTTAAGAAAATAAACATTTGTAAAATCGCTGTCTTACGCTGTTTTCAATATCGGAAATTTGATGTAAATCGACCAGAGAACTTCCTTTTCCCCCGAGGATCGACGATTGATTCGTTGTCGAATTTTGCAACGACGTCACCAAAATTGCCCCCACTTCTTCGTTATCTGTGGGAAAATTTTAAACTGATTAATTCGTTTTTTGTATAAATTCGGGATAAAATCAAAGGATTACCTTTGATCCGAGGGACGAAACGAGGCACGTGTCTCTCTCTTATCGTTTCTGGTCTTAATCTAAAATTTCGTTAAAAAATAATTCATTTTTAGTATTCGTAGCCCAATTACGAGAGGACCAAAGGCTAATTAATATGAAAAATCTTCGAGCTGAGAAGAAAGCGAGTAGCATTAAACTGTAAGGCGAAAGGAATTTAAATACGCTTTGGTAAATTTCTAAACGGTCACAATGTCGGGCTGCAATCTTTAATTTATTTCGTTCGAAATCTATGCTCTCCACCTCAAATTAGTAGTGTCTGGCCCCTATACGTCATACTTTTCTTTTAACAATAGAGTTGTGTCGGTCATTTAACACTCGAGGAAAAATTTTTAATTGAAATATGACGTTCTGTTTGCGTCGGAGTATATATTCAATCCGGTCCTCTTGCCTCTAGATTTCCATATCTGGTCTCTTCCTTCATCTATCCAACTCCGTTTTCCAGATTAAGGAAAGACAGTGGCAATTTATAGGTCTACAGTTTTTTTTTTCAAATTGCAGACCAACAAAAGGCTAAAGGAGCCTGCTCTACCCCTGAGCTTCATACAAGCTCTTCGTTCAAGAGGGATTCCTGGAAATATATTAGGAGTAAGTCGACCGATTTAAATTAGACTAGTCACGAATATAGTATTTGAAGTTTTAATTTCTTTGTTCCCGGTATTTGGCGAGAAAGAAGAAGAACGCTCGAACATAGCTTATGGGTAAATTACGTCGTCATCGAGTTTTCAACCAATGGTAAACTTTCGGAAACAGAACTTACTTGTGATAGAAGATACAGACGCTGCGTGCTTGCTTGTCGTTCAGTCTGGCCGAAGACAATTGCAATTCGGAGAAGTAGGTAGTCCCGATACTTGTCTTGGCGTCCATCCCGTCGATGTTCATCTTCCACCATCTCTTGTCTGAAAAATCACAATCCAAGAGTTTACTTATAAGAGAGGGCTGAGAATTCTCGGTTATGAGGAAGAAATTATGCCACAGAAATTACTTACGGGCTCGTATTCGTGCCACTTTGACAGTGGGAGGGAGTCCGTCCAAGTAGAGTCGACTCAAACTGACGTCGGAAACGTCGATCGGATAGAGAAAGCCGTTGCCCGTCGTGACGAATCCATACTTGAAACTGTCCAAAACAAAATAACTTCAAATTTACTAACCGCTCTAGGAAATTTACAACTGAAACTCGCTCCGAGAAACACAGAAAATCGAAAACTCCAGGAAATTTTCATGGATGGTCTGACCCGAATATGTCCGATTCCATCCCTCGACATCCGCCCGCCCTCATTGTAGACTTGGCAAACTGGCGATGGCTCAAATAAGGCCGTATCGGTGCCCGCAATGTGGTAAGGGTTTAAAACGAAAACAAAAAATACTCACTCCGAAATCACTTCGGGGACGTTCAGAGCGCCGATGCTGACAGTCTCACCCGTCTGCAAAGTACAAATATCCGCATTTAATAAAGCTAGAAGGCATTTCTAGTTTCTCCTCTTTTTACCAGATAAGAGAACACATCCATCGTCTTTTACATCTCCAAGAAATAGATTAAATTAAAATGCTTACCTTCCCCATTCCGACCAGATGCAAATGATGATAAGAGGGTTGAGTTCGTAGAGTCCCTGTAAAATCCAATAAATCTTACGTTAGATAACGGCCGAAAGACAAATAAAATTTGCTTAAGAACCGACTGAACAAGTCCTAATCGTAGGCATAAATTTGATCTTTAGGTATGTGAGATCCGAATAGACCCTGTGTCTAATTAATAATTTAATTATAAAGTTAAATTTTGAAAGAAAATATTCTTTCATTTTTCGTGTGAAATTATCGTTTTTCTAAACGTGGGAAACGGATAAAAAGTCACTTTTTTTAACGGAAGTCGAAACATCCTTCTGTTTTACCCTTATCTACCGAAAATCTCAGCACCCTGGGAATTGTCGACCCCTCGATAAATCCCCTTTTCCTCTATTCACGTGAGAAAATCCTAAAAGCTAATTGGATGAAAATCACGCGATATAGAAAGAGTTTTGCCTAATTTGCCACGAACTTCCATAGAAGGAAGACGTATTCCAAGTTATCTCCTGAAGGCCAACGCTCATAGTCGTATCCCGCATGAATTTAATAATGAGTTAAGTCAGTAAGACTAGAAGAGTATATATAATTATGTGCTTCTCATGACCTCCCCATGAACTGAAGTATAAAGAAACTAAAGGTGAAGATAAAGAGAAATCATCTAGAGGTAGTATGATTATCATTGAAATTGTCAGCTCTCTCTCTCGAAAGGATCATTTTAATTATTCCATTTTTGTGTAAATTTTGTTTATTTTGTCTCATTAAATTTTGTTACAGTATTATTGTTAAAGGAATGTCTCAGGTACCTGAATCAAACATATTCCCTCCACGAATGAAAACGCGTATCCAAAACTGATTAACTAGTGTCAAGGATCCTGACGTAGATGTAGACTTCGCAGTAAGATCCTTTTAAACATTAACAGCCCTCCTATAAAAAGTATCGAGACCGAATCGCGTGATTTTGAATCGAAACACCTTAACGCCCATTGACGAGACAATTCGTCAAGGTTACATAGCGTTACGTAAGATTCAGTAGTTAAGGCCACTTTTGACAAAAAAACTTTTTTTTTCAATTTTTGGAATGTTTTTTAGGTCCCCAAATTTTTTCAAAATTTTTTGTCCGCGCGAAAAAATTTTATCGCGATTTTAATGAGCCTTTGATAAGGCTCGATTAAGGCTTAATTGTTTTTTAATGGGAGTTTTTTATCAAATTTATTTCATGGTTCCTAAGTTNATGTTTTTCGTCCATTTTCGACCATGGCATGAAAGAAATCAAATTCTTAGGATTCCTCGGTCGCCGCGTGTTTCGCATATTAATGCAACATTAATATTAAAAATACCGAAAAACCTTTATAATACTGCCGAACGAAATTTAAGTCCGAGACAGAGGATAAACAGACTGAGCTAGGGGGAAACGACCATTCTTTCTCCTTGAATTTATGACTTTTTAAAGGATATCTCCCCTAAATTCTTAATTTGATTGCTTAGTCAATTTGACACCTCCGTTCGACTTGGTCACGTTAGATCAACACTTGCGGAAGTATTGATCTAACTTTGAAACTTTTATTTCCTGACGGCTAAGAATTTTTTTTACTTACAACGCGACAATTTTGCTTTCGGAGGAATGTTACATTTATTTCCAAATTTTTAAGTTGGATATTTCCCATTGTAATTGCAATCCGTTAGTTTGCATCGACCCGTGACCTCGGGGACTGCAATTGAAGAAAAAAAAAAAAAAATGGAAACCTCTAAATTTCCACTGTCCTCTGTCCATCTGTCTTAATTTCGAGAACGGAGTTAGATGAAATCCGAGACCAGATAGGAACGGGAGGCCCATCTAAATATATAAAATTACTTGTCTAACTGACTGATTGATTCATCATCGCCCAGAGCAAACCGCTGAACCTAGAGGTGAAATTTGGTACACAGTTAGGGTACATCATGAAAACGCACACTAACTTGTAAGAATGGATTTTTTCCAAATTCCCCCTTTGGGGGAGAGGGAAAGGATTAAGGCTTAACCTGAAGAACGGCTTCTACTGTACTATTTTAGATGCGATTTTTTGTTTTCAATCGTTTAGTCTTCATACTTAGGTGTATTAAATTGATAACATTTCAAACATTGTTATAAATATTTTTTATATAATTCGATTTTTTAACCAATTGTTCGAACCGTTTTAAATTCGAATTTGTTATTGCATATTGGTTCGATTGTAGAACGATTGTAAACGTTCCAGAAAAATGATCAAATTGAAAACAGTTCGTTTGATTCGCAGCAATTCTCATCATTCTCAGCGGTAGGTGTTATATAACAATTACTATGGCTGTTGTAACCTCTTTAATATTACAATTTAATAAAGTAAAAGTTACATTACAGATACTAAACATATCTTCATTGCCCTCCATGTTCAACCACCAGCGAGCAATGAATATATGTTTAGTATCTGTAATGTAACTTTTGCTTTATTAAATTGTAATTTCCACCTGCCCTTTTTTTTACAAAGAAATGTTATGTTTGTAATTGTGTTGGGAGGTCAAATTTACCTTAGGTAGCCAAAATGCCGCGATTCCGACTATTCGTGATCCAGACGGACTCCTCCCGGAGGGGAGCCGCCGGCAGGCCGCCGAGTGCCAAACGTCACTAGTTATTCATTCACGGGAGTTCATGAATAAATAAATAAAAAAAGGAAACGTCTACTAAAAATGTACCTAATCTAACGGAAACGAAACGAATCTAACCGAAGTGCCATCATTTTGGCTACCTAAGGTAAATTTAACCTGTTGGGATTATCACCTGTGGACATTTTAGACTCTCATTTTTTTCTCATTCATTTAGATTTATTAATATAACAAGGTTACATGACCTTATGTCGCAAATGCATAATCAGGTATTGTAATACAATATATTTGTTAGTTGGTTTTAAACATAAAATAACAGTACAGTATCGTTGTAAAATTGCAGGTATATGTTTTGATTTTACATGACAATTCTTGATAATTAAGTACATTTGTTGATTTACAAACATAGATAGTATTAACATGGATAATACTATGTAGACATTTTAGACTGTTTTACATATTTGTGCAGAGTAATAGCCTACAAAGAAAGATCATCTCTACAGTGAAGAATAGTTGTTCTCGGTGATTGGACATGACGAGCAACGAAGATATGTTTAGTATCTGTAACGTAACGACGTATTCAAAATTTCTGGATAAACATTATTCAGGATAGTCAAAGTTAGAGAATGAACACAAGGAATGAAACCAATTCGAGTGTACTCAAAGTTCGATGAGAAGCAAGCATTAATAAGAACACAAATTTGTAGTAGTGAAGTTCGGGGCAAGACACAGACAAGGAATGGACAAAAACTCTACAATTCGATTTTTTTTAAAATTCTTTAAGACAAGATAAAGAATACAGACAATAATAAAGCTTGTTTTTTACACATCCAGTTAAATATGGAATAATCGGTTTCGAAATACTGTATTCGAAAATTTAAGCAGAATTAAATCAATCAACAGAATATTGAAAATATTCACCGAAATATAATTCACAAACGATCTGATAGAAGAAAAAAATATTACAAAAATAAATAATAAAAAATAGAAAACAATGGTAAATGGGATTAAATGGAGACAGCCACAAATGAATGAGATAAACATAAATAAAAATGAGAATAAATACGAAAAAGAAACAAACACAAAATTAATCAAATAGGCCTACCTCGATAGTACCTCAATACCTGACCGAACAATCACGACCCGCTAAAACAAATTTTCGGTTAATAATATTTTAATTTTTGTCACTATTAAAAAATTTTCTGATAAAAATGAATAATAAATAAGGATGTTTGTTTATTTGTTCACTATACACTCCTAGACCCTTCGACCAATTGCTACAAAACCCGGTAGTTTCATTTAAATACTTCTAACTTAGATCATGTTCCCATTCCAACCCAAAATATCAATTGCATTTCTATAAAGTAATTAATTTTCAATTACAGTACATTCGATTTTCTGAATTACACGTAGCGCCATCTATCGGCAAAAAGTTAACAAATAATCAACTACATATAATTCTTACAAAAAAGGATATAATTTTAAAAAATATATATTATATTCACTGAATTACTGCAACAATTATAGAGCGCGAAATAGATGTGCCATTACTGCAACAGGTAGCACATAGCACTTGCCTGCGTGAAGTGTAGTAGTTTTGCCCCTGTACATCACACTTTTCTGTCAACAATGGAATCGTGCCGGTCATCTATCTAACTTTTTTCACGAGAAAATTTTTGAATTTGAAATAACCTGACTTCCGGTTTGCATCAGAAGTTCGTATGTAGTTAATTAGAACCTCCTGCCCCTATGGTTTCCATATCTGATCTCTTCTTTCGTTTACCTAACTCCGTTCTCGAGATTAAGGAAAGATAGGCAAACGGACAGATGACAGTGGAAATTCGTGTCTACAATTTTTTCAAACTGTAGCCCAACAATATAAAATTTATTTAATAAGTAATATATTTTCATTTTTAATTTACACAAAATATTTTAATTATAATATTTTGTTGTTATTTAAATATATTATATTTAATAAAATATTTATAAAATATATTAATTAAAAATTATGTTGTTCTTTGTTTATTCCTTTGCAAATAGAGTGAGATAAAATGTAATATCGAATAATACAATGGTTTGGATGCCTGTTAAATTAAACTCTTCAGCTATTTCTCACTGACTGCAGATCCAACCATCAAAATAATTTGAATTCATTTCTCCTTACTCAGTGCCATGCTTTAAACCAGTGTTTTTCAACCTTCTTGAATACGCGACCCCTTTACAAGTTAAAAAAATTCTGGCGACCCCCCAGGGCCATATTTAAACTATGTCAGTGATTTTAAAAAAATACGTATTTAATTTTCTTTCTGTTGAGACCTCAATATCGATCGAAAAACCAATTGTACTTTAAAATAAAAACGCATAGCCTTCTCACTGAAATTGTAGTTTTATTTATTGTAGTGTAGGACCTACAAACACTTGTCTTTTTCTTTTACCCTCGACCCCCCGTG